GTCATACTTTTTAGATGATCACGAAAGTTAAGCTAGTGGATCCATTAAGCAAAAGTTAAAGTAAGGTCCTATATCGATGGCAAGGTATAGGATGGTCCTTTGGCAACGTGAGGTAAAATGTTGTATCATCACTTGGACTCAGTGGTAATTATCGGTTAGAGAACTCCCACAGTAGAAATTGCATGGTTCCTCGAGGGGTTTTGTTTGGTATGGATCGGGTTATGGGACTTCATTCATGCATTGCACAAGTAGACTTTGAGAGGGAGCATGGTAATTTTATGATATTATAAGTATGATTTTTGACGTCATGTTTTAATTTTTTTTACAAGCTTTATATCTATTGCATGTGTCTTATTGCTTTATATTGAGTTCAGTTATTCATGACTTGAATTAGAGCCAAGGTAAGTTCTCTTTTGTATCCCTTTCAAGCTTAAGTTGTTGTTTAGCGGTCCTGCTCGCATACTTGTACATTCCATGTACTGATGCCAGTTGGCCTGCATCTTATTATGATGCAGACGCAGGTACCCAGGTTCATCATCCAGCACGCCGTTTATCCGGTTGAGCACGCCAGAATTAGTGGTGAGCCTCCTTGCATTCCAGAGGATTCTGTTATTTCATTTTTTCTAGTTTTGTTTTATTAGGATGTTGCGGGGTCTGTCCCAACATCCATCTCAGTATTATAGAGGCTTCATAGACAGTCAGTCAGTTAGTATTGAGTCTCTCATCTATGTTTATATGTAAATATTCTATTTTGAGACTCGAGTTGCCTTTTTGAGCTAGATTTTCTCAGTTAGGTTGTTTTGTGACCTTTTATTGCATTGAGTTACTCTGTTGAGTTAGGTTTTCGCTGAGTTAAGAAAGCCAGGCCAAGGGTTCGCTTGGGGCCAGCAATGGTCTTCGAGTGCCGGCCACGTCCAGGGTGTAGGCTCGGGGCGTGACAAACTTGGTATCAGAGCACAGAGTTCCAGAGTCCTAGGGAGTCTATGCAGCCGTCTGTAGAGTCTAGTTATCGGTGTGTAGAGCACCACATCTATAATTAGGAGGTTGCAACATTTAGTAAATATCTCACTTCTTTCACATTCATTTCGTGCATTAGAGTTTATCCCTAAAAGTTTCTTTCTAATTCGTGCTTGCGCGTATTTTGAAAGGATTATGCCTCCACGAAGAGCAGTCAGAGTTCGTCCAGCTATGAAGAGTTTTAAGGAACAAGAGTTACCAAATTCCCTGGAAATGCAAACCCAAGAAAAGATCAAATATGCTGATTTTTGTGAAACTAACTGGATGTTAAGTCAAGTTGCGACCTTTCATGTTGGGCAGAGAGATAATCGACACAAAGTGGTTGATACTTCAAGGATCCGTGAACTCTTAAGGATGAACCCACCAAGCTTCACAGGTTCAAGTATTAGTGAGAATCCGGAGAACTTCATTGAGGAGCTTAAAATGGTATTTGATGTGATGCATCTTGCTAAGTCGGAGAGGGTGGAACTAGCTGCATACCAATTGAAGGGTGTTGCTAGAATCTGGTTCGACCAATGGAAAAAAGAATAGTGCTGAGGATGCGCCAGTAGTGAGTTGGGTTGTGTTTGAGAGTGCTCTCATGGGGCGTTTCTTTCCTCGTGAGTTGCGTGAGGCAAAGATAAAAGAGTTTCTCACCCTTAATCCAGAGTCTATGAGTGTTCATGAGTACAGTCTGAAGTTCACGCAACTTTCCCGCTATTCTCCGGAGATGGTTGCGGACATGAGGAGTAGAATGAGTTTATATGTTGCTGGTTATCTCGTCAGTCAAGCAAGGAAGGCAAGGCAGCTATGCTGATAGGGGATATTGACCTAGCAAGATTTATGATCCATTTACAACAAGTTGAGGAGGATAAACGGAAGGATAGAGAAGAGTTTAAGGATAAGAGGGCTAAGATAGT